AGGCCTATGGGCCTGCTCGTTTGTAGTTCCCTTAGTTTGTTCTTAAGACAACATCCACAGAAAGAATAGGAATGGTGATAAAATAACTCTAAATTACCGTCTCTAAATCACACGACTTTAAATTGTCAAATACCAAGCGGTCACCGGTGACCGCAACCTATTGTTCTATAATTGGGTCTGCAAAACCGGTACTCGACGAGTTAATACAGAATCTCAAATAGTATCCCTTCAAGACAAATAAAGCAATTATACACATTTCCATAAATCAAAAACTTCACTCTTCATTGCCGGCTATGATCTTGTAATTGGAAGTGTATTTAGCACAAACGGTTCAATGAACTGTAAGCAGTGCACGCTAACAGAATATTTAGTACTACCGTCTCGTGTTGCTATAGCTTTCCTATCAGAAATAGCTGTGAGTAACTCCTTGTTCTCTTTACTGGAATAATATTTAGACTCATTAAAAAAGTGTTTCCTATAAAAGCATTTATTAGTATCGACAACTTTTAGGTCCAGATAGATGAGATAGACTCGAACTTCGACTTTGAAAAACGCGTTAGAACCTATTCACAACTTGTCAATAGTACATACCTACATCTGGAACAGACGTCATCGTCATCATCATCTATTGCCCTTTGTTGGCCCCATCTGTTGGCCTTATAGGCAACAACCCATAAGTCGTCACTGCTGACCATAGGCCTCTTCTCACACGGATAGGGTTTGAGCGTTAATCACCACGCTTGATCAGTGCGGGTTGGCGTTTTCATACTTATAAATAGACATTTTAAGCCCAGGTTTCCTTACGATGTTTTCCTTCACGGTTTGTCAGTGGTGTATAAATAATCTTAGATATTGCATATAACTCGGAAAAAGTCACATTAGTCCTTGCTGTTGGGACGCATCTCAGTCTCATGCATGAGAAGCGGGCGTCATAAACCTCTGGGACACCACAACATCAGAACAGACATAAGTACCTAATTATTATTTATGTATTTCAGATTTCATTAAAAGATATTTCTGTTCACATAATTGAATATCTAAGTACCAGATTTGTCGTGTCATATTCATTAGGCTTGTGGGTAGCTAATTCCAACTCCAATAACCATATATCCTGAAAATATACTCCAATTTCAGACATTATCCCTTGATATAACAATATTTCAGTTCCATTACCAACTTTATTAGCACTTAAATAAAAGTGTCAATTAATAGTCCTACTAAAACGTCAATGTATACGACACATTGTTATAAAATCGGTAACAGATCAGAACAGCTGTTGATTGTATTTTCAACTTTATTCCTGTGAGGTTCAAAGTCTAGAATGTATTTTAGGATTAAGATTTCGCGTCTAGACTAGTGTAGAATTTAGTTTGTTACTAGGTGACATGAATAGCTGTTTAAATAGTTCGGTTAACGTGTTTCGATTGCTAACTAAGTTTTTTTACTTTTTCTTCCAACCAGCCTATAGATTTCTGTGATGATACTTAGGTACGTATTATTTATTATGACTTGAAGTGAACGATAAAACGTAAAGAGATGATAAATGAAATGCTACACTTTAAAGAGATAGTCATAACAAATCATAATATCTAGGCCAACATGGACATAGACCTTGGGGGATATCTAGTACTTAGGAGAACCTACTTAGAACCTACATTGTTTTGACCTTTATATAGAATGCTAACTAACGTCATAATTCCGAAAGTTTGTTTTCTGAAGGGTATATCCTGGGTGTCTTCAAGGCCCGACTGAATAGGTTGCTTATGGGCAGCCGTGCGCCATCGTAGGTCGCATTATCGCTTATCACCAGGCGAGATAGTAGCCAAACGTCTACCATCAAATATTAAAAAAAACGTCGCGCTATCTCTGATCTCTGACGCCCGGAGTGTCTCCCGCGACGGCTGGGGCGTGAGAAAGTTCGTACCACAGAAATATTAAAAAAGGAGAAGTGGCAAGAAGTGGCGTGTCGGTCACGCTCGTAATTGAGCGCTCCGCTCAATGTAGGAAAATATGGCCGTCACCGCGAGTTAGTCTGTTGTCACCCGCGATCGTACAACGTACGTATATCTACGTATATCTGTGGTTCGTACCATTACGCGCCCCGCCTCCTCCTCGGCAAGCATGACTGCTTTGTAGAAAGAGGAGACGGCATCCCAATCCCCCCGTTCCGCACTATAGCCTGAACCACAGGTTACTTAATGGTTACCTACTGAACCAGAGCCGGACGCGAGAGGTTGCCGTCGCCGTAAAAGTATAAGCTACAAAATAATTATAACATTTATCTTTTAATTCTTCTAGGCGTAAGTAGTATACCTATATTTAGTTCATTGTGCATCCATAAGTCATAAGTATACATAATTTTAAGTGAGTGTCATATGAGAGGGAAATAACAACTTCGGTAAGAATGGGATTCCCGCGTTCGAAGTTTATGGACAATTTTGTCATCTCTAAAAGTCAAAGTCCATGTAAACAAAACTGAAGCTAAATAACGGGAAAATATTACTTAATACACTGAAGGTGTGTCATAGTCATATAGTCATAATTATTGTTTTTTTTGACTAAATCTGTTGCACCGATTGCGCTGAAATATTGCACAAATGAAATAAGCATCATAAGTGTGGGAGAGCCATGCTTCGGCACAAATGGGCCGGCTCGACCGGAGTGATACCACGGCCTCACAGAAAACCGACGTGAAGCAACGCTTGCGTTGTGTTTCGTTGTGTGAGTGAGGTTACCGGAGGCCCAATTACCCTCCCCTTCCCCAATCTCCCCAATTCATGAATCCCCAACGTTCCTCAAACTCCTAATCCCCAAAATACCGTTAACGCACCTGTAACGCCGATTGCTTACCATCATGTGATCCGTCAGCTCGTACACAGGCTTATGCCATAAAAAAATAAAATAAAGTCGTCCAGTCGTTTTTTTGCAAATATATATATAACTTAACTATGAAAAAATTAAGAGTATGTATCTTCATAATAATTAATATTTATTTATTTAATTTAAATATATTTAAGCAAGCAAGGTCAGGGTCATTGTAGCCAGTTGAACTACTTCTAAAGAGTAAAAAACAATAAAGATGACGTCGTGGTTCCTAATGCGGTTAATATAATGTGACTAAACCAATACACGATTAGAGAATCAATGTTTAGTATAGTTTCGTTTAGTGATCTTCATCGCAACAACTTAACACATCAAGCAATTTATAATATAAAAAGACTTAAACTAATATAAAGTAATCATGGACGTGGAAATACCTTTTTTTATTTATCTTTTTCTTTTATTTTTTTTTGAAAAACTTATAATTGTTGAGAAAGCTAAAGATACGTATGTAAGAATCGTAGCAATTGGTGTTCCATAGTGTCTGCCTACCCCCATGGGAGACAGGCGTAAGGTTACGTATGTATGTATTTATGTTGTATTTACGATAACCTTAATATAAAACTAATCATTAATTTAAAGTTTAACGTATTATGAATTGACCTAATGCTATGTTTATTAGATCAAATAAATTATACATACACGTATGCTGGAATTAATTTAAGGAAAAAATTAAAATAATGTCGCTTCCTTTACCTACTTTTAATATTATGACATAAACAGAGCTACGATTTATTTTTATACATTGGGGGAAAATCATCGAATGACTGTTTCCGCCTGGGTGAGGCGGAAGGGAGTGTCAGACTCTTACTGATTAAAAACCACACCGTTCCTTCTCCTGCACGTCGAGTCGGAGCCCCGGTAACCCGTCGGGTTCTCCGCGACACATAAATAGAGCTACGATTTATTTTCATACAGGTTCTTACGTGATCAATATGTGTCAATTTTATTAGTACTCTGTATTTATCATACAATGATAAAATACACACAAATAACCAAGGTCTACTAAATATTTTTTCAATGAAAATACTTGTTTACAAACAGATTATTATTTTCCGAAATTATAGCCTTGCAGCAGTCATAAAAGATAAGGTCCTTTTATATGTATTGTCGAAAATTCCGATATTTTTAGCAACGTAAGTATTAATTACACTATGTAGATTAAATTATTTGTTAGTATTTAAATAGAGTAATGCTGGTTTTTACCAACTACCATTAAACTGTCAAACACCAAGCGGTCACCGGTGACCGCAACCTATTGTTCTATAATTGTGTCTACAAAACCGGTACTCGACGAGTTAAACCATCTCTTACCTAAAAATTACTTAGCGTGCCCTTGCACCGGCATGTAATCTAATCCCTTACTTGTACCTATACTGTTAGGTTTTCTTTATAGAGTTTCATTCAAATAGAAAGTTTTATTTTCATTAGTTCTAAGTACCTATACGTAGGTAATAATTTTTAAACCTATATTTGGTAGAAACAAATATATTCAAGTACTTACCTATACCGATTTTATTTATACGATAGGTACCTACCTACACGTTCTTTGCCGAAAGTCTTTATTATTCTATTGTACCTATTGATAGCATCCGTTGACTTGCGATTCTTACGAACAATTAGGTAGTATGGCGGTTAAATAATAAAACAATCATGTAACGTAACTGGTTCAAATTCCAATGCGGAGCAAATTGTTTAACCCAATTGACTAGTAATTGATGAGTAAGATGTTTTGTCGCTTCACAAAACATCTAGTTGCTTTAAATATTGTAACAGAATCTGTACAAAGTCCAATTTTCTAGTTTGAAATACTATTTTTATTTGTTTTTTATTCGCGGCCCCATATAGCTTTGATAACACTTCGTTCCACGCTTCGTTTTGATAAGACTTCAATTTCACGCATAAATAGGTGTACGACCTACAATCTACTTACTTGTTACCTACTTAATTACTTAAACGAATTACGTTTTGAATTCGAATTCCTTGGCTTGCATAATAAGCTAGGTACCCGCACTTAACATTTTTTATATTGATTTTAAACTTTGTTTCAAAATGACATAAGGTCAAAAATTTACTAAATACCCTTCACAAATATTAAAACAAACTGGTTAAGTACTTACCAGTGCAACAAGATTTTTATATCCCGCCGAGTCAGCCCACAAACGATCAATAAACCTTGTCTTTGGCACAACAATATCAGGAATAGTAGACCTTATAATAAAATCTTCATTCCTGAACACAGCACTAGTTGAAAGTTTCCTTTGCCATTTTAAGTTTTTAATTTCGCGTAAGAGGAGTTTTCGCGCCATATTTTGCATGTTCGCGCGCGATTGACGGAGGCGAGTGAACGACTGTCGCGGGTGGACGCGACTGACAGAATCAACGAAACTAAACGTACCACACGAATACTTTGAACTTGATAATTTTGCTAATTTGCACTGAATGCACGGTTTGCAAAAGTAGATAGCTGATAACAATTTATTTAAACAATACATTGTTAGATCCGCGAGTCGTCTTTTTGTAGTGAATTTATTTTTGTAGATGAATATATCGATGTTTGTTTATTTTAAAATTCATTTTATTTTACTGCAAACAGGCAAATTCGTTAATATTTTTATCGTCGTTTATTCCTAAAATTCTTGCTTAGTTATAAATTATTGTAATAATTTTTCCTTTAATATAAAAAACTTTATTCCTTAGTCATTATACAAACAAACATTTTAATTAAAATCAGGGATCTCACTAAGTCTGAATGCCTGTATGTCGTAGGTCACATAGGATATTCTTCTGTATCTACTAGCGACCCGCCTCGGCTTCGCACGGGTGCAATATATGTACATGTATTATAATAATATAAAACTTCCTTAAGAATCGCTCTATCTATTAAAAAAAGCCGCATCCAAATCCGTTGCGTAGTTTTAAAGATCTAAGCATACATAGGGACAGACAAACAGCGGATAGTGACTTCGTTTTATACTATGTAGTGACTATGAAGAATATCCTGTCACAGGTGAGAGGCGCACTAATAATATTTATTAAACTGTCAAATACCAAGCGGTCACCGGTGACCGCAACCTATTGTTCTATAATTGTGTCTGCAAAACCGGTACTCGACGAGTTAATTCTAGGACAAGTAATTTATTTAAACAAACTCTTTAACATAAGTATCCAATCAAAAGTAAATTGAAGACAAAATGGACTTTGAATGTTGTTTTCATTTTCGAAATCACTATTTCTACACTAATCGCTCGCGGGTACAAAGTGCAAACATTATAAGTACAAAGGTTAAAATAATAAGACAGGAATACTCCTGATAAATAAGTAGAGATATTAAATAAATAGATAATATTAATAGTAATAAAACGAGATATTCTTAAGGTCGTCATTGAATGATTGCAAGTTGTAAAGTTATTATAGTTATCCTTACTTTGAACTTAGACTTTGTACTCGTACGACATTGATACCTACTTAGATAAGTAGGTATGTATAGGTAGATAAGAACAACCCATCTGGCTTTCTTAACCAGAGAAGTAATTACTAACTTAATTATCCTTATTATCTATTGCAGGTAAAGCATAATTAAAAAATATGTAAAACGTAAAAATGTTGATGATTGTAGGTAGTTAGGTCAGGATTTTTATTTTTATTCGAGTACCTATTTTTAAAGTATGTAGATATGTATAGCTTGATATGTCTCACAGATAATAGATTAACTCGTCGAGTACCGGTTTTGTAGACACAATTATAGAACAATAGGTTGCGGTCACCGGTGACCGCTTGGTGTTTGACAGTTTAAAAATAATTGGGTACATACTTGCCAACTAGTTATATTCAAATTCAATACTTTTTTCGAACTGTCAAAAACGACAGTTTCTTTGAATTTTGTACGAGATTGTGTATTGTGACGTCACGTTTTTTAAGTATCAAACAGAATACTTATTTCTAAAAAATTTGATGGAAAAATAGGTACCTACTAAAAGTAAGTTGGTCATCAGATGAATTAATTAAAGTGTGATTATTTTTTAATATTTTATTGTATTGAACAGTCGAAATAATTTATTTTTGATTAAGGAAAGTGTGTACCTAAATTGTAATTTAAAAAAATATTCTAAGTTTTTTTTTTAAGGGGGGAAAATCATCGAATGACTGCTCCCGCCTGGGTGAGGCGGGAGGGAGTGTCAGACTCTTACTGACTAAAAACCACCCCGTTCCTTCTCCTGCACGTCGAGCCGGAGCCCCGGTTACCCGTTAGGTTCTCCGCGACTAACTCGTTGAAAAGTAGGTGGATAGATATTTTTTTTTATTGATGCCAATAATTGCAGGGCCTTGTTTAGCACAAACAAACAAAAACGATTGGCTTATTACCACCATTAAACTGTCAAACACCAAGCGGTCACCGGTGACCGCAACCTATTCTATAATTGTGTCTATAATGACGGTACTCGACGAGTTAAATGAACAATCGATAATTTTATCGATAAGTGCTTACCTATATCGATATGAATGATTAGGAATTACTTATAGGTAGGTACTTAGACTGGTTGCAGTTGCACTACACCTTGTGACCAAACCGGTTTCGTTTCTCCCAACTCTCTGCAGACATTGCCCTTAGAAAGTGCAATCATGAATCTTTTATGTCGGTATTGTTATTAAAAACTTAAAAAGTTGAATTAGCCTGAATTGTTGAAGTATGTATGTATAGTTATTTAAATGTATATAATGTCTTTCTTCTTCTTCTTCCTGGGTTTTCCCAATTAAATTAGTTTTTGGGGATGGAAGGTTGGCACTGAATCTTATCTCGATTTGGCTAAAATATTATTTTGTAGTATACTGCCATCTGTCTTCCACTGGTTTCAAAATCTTTGAAGCTTTTGTCTATCGCTTTAAAATCCTCGTTCATATATATACAAAGTTTTGTCATGTTTCCTGCTGTCGAGGTTTGTAAGAAAGATAAAATCAACAGAAATACTAGAATAAGCAATGAGTAGCACCCGAGGGAGACGGGGCGATACATTAATTTAAATAGGTAAGTAGATACGTTCTCATAAAGATATATATATATAAAAACGCATTTACCCATGACACACCCACCAACGAATGTGCCAGTACCAGACCCGTTACTAAAACAAGAGCAGAATCGAAATAGTTCGCGAAAGCGCAAAGTTCAATGCACGTCGGGGCTGCGATATAGAATTTGTACAAGGCCGCGAATCGTTAAAAGTAGACATTTTGCGATAAAGCAGGTAAGTAGGTACCTACCTCCTTACACAGTAGGTACATACTGGTTATAGCACAGAACTGAATAACTAAGATAACCGGTAATTCTTGTAGAAGTAAAAATAGTGAAAAGTGGGTGTTACATTGTACAGTGGCATAATGTGCACCTCTGCCTACCCCTTCGGGGATAAAAGGCGTGATGTTATGTTATGTTATGTCTTGTAGAAGTCGCGTATTTTTTTTTACATTTTCGTGGACAGCTGGATGGGTGGTTGTTAGTCGTCTTGTTGATCGAGTCGATTGGTATTGGTAATTAGTACCATTGTCGTTGGACTTATTCACTGGTAATAGTTGCACTTGTCCTTTTTTTATTTGTTTTTTTTTCTGAGGGTCGAAAATCATCCATTGACTTGGGTGAGGCGAGAGGGAGTGTCAGACTCTTAGGTACTTACTGAGTTAACACCACCCCGTTCCTACTCCTGCTCTTCGAGCCCCGGTAACCCGTTAAGTCTTCCGTGGCTCCGTATAGTTGCACTTCTCTAAATAAATATTATCTGATAGAAAAAACTAGACAAATCTAAATATAGGTTGACGTCATACTGAAGGAAAATTTGGGTATATTTCTTTGCCTGTATACGCATTTACCAGCAAATACAGACTGTACTTTCCATCATTACGACCGAATAAACATAGTTAGTTAGACGCACATCATCCTACAATTTGTCAAAATTCCTTCAATACATTTCAGACTTTACTCCAACAAAATAGAGTTGAAGATCTATTGAGTAAAAAGGCGGACGTTGATCTGCTGTCGTCTTAGTTCTACGTGGGCTTGATGATGACGTAGTGTTTAGCGGATATCAAGGTCGAGCGTTTGACGGTCTTTATGGGTGTGTCTAGTCAACCACAGATACAAAATTATTTTTAGACTCAAGGTTTTTTTGTAAACAGCCAAAAGTTGCAGAGCGTGTCTTCCATGTTTGTTTATATTTTTCTTCAATAACATTATTTAATGATTGACAACTAGTTGTTTTCATTGTGACTTCATTTTGGAGGCAATATCATTTTAATATTTTTCTCTGTAGATGTTTTTTTTAAGGGACAAGCCAGCCACAACCTCCCAAAACCGCTGCAACTCCAGTAAGCCAGGATGTATAGTAAATACAACCATGATAACACCGGAACACTGAACTGAAGTCCGGCGCGTCCCAGGGACTAATGAGTCTTGGTTCCCGCAACGAAGAGAATCAGAAGATATTATAAGAAGAGAAGAAGAAAAAAATTGTAGATACTAGAAAATACCATACACTAAAATAAAATGACAAAATATAAAGTAGAATTATTTTTATTTAACGTATATTAGGTATTTCAATACCTATCTTAAAATATATAACATTATAACATACTTCTCTTCAGTAACAAATAACTTTTAAGGCACATTATGAACATAGTGATTTTGGCAAATAACGGCACAACCGCTTGATTCTAGGGAAATACCAACTTTATTGACTAAAAAACTATAGGTAAAATAAAATACAATTTAGTTTTACCTGGATGTAATTTTTATAGATTACTTTCTGGTTTTATTACTTCTTTACAGTAAAATAAATGGACTCAATACAATAATTTTTTGTAAAATAATACAATTGATTTTTAAACATTGAATAAAATTAACAAAACTGAAATTGTATTAACAAAAACATAGACTAGTTTGTATTGCAAATTGTTTAATATTATATTATTAGCAAAATAGTTGATTGACTGATTTTGTTTTACAAGTATTTTATTTATATATTATTAACGTAATAAGTCTTACAAATTATAATTAAACTTATAATTACAAAAACATTCACCGTGAATACTTAATGCAGTATTTAAATATAACTAATTATAATATAAAATACGTACTTAGACATAAAAAAATCGCATTAGTCGAATCTTACACGGTAATTAAACCATTAAACGGTTTAATATAAAATACATACTTAATTGTATTTTTTACAATAGGTACTAAAACGTATTTTTTTTTACAAAAACATAATAATGTAGTTATAACATAATTATATTAAATTGTTGATTTTCCTTGATCCCAAAGACAAATTGCATAGTATACCTTTTATGTATAAGAATAAAGAATACATTATTCATATAATATGTATAGAAAAAATGCATTTAATGGTTTATACATTTAGCAAAAGATTTTTTTTTAGTATGGCTCCCGTAGATGACGGTTTCATAAGCAAAGGTAGACTTTCAGGTATTTTCGAAATTGGCTAAAATTTTCACAATATCTTTTACTTGTTAAACTTACTAGAAATTTTATAATACTGAAATTGATTTTATATCTCGTACATTATTTCAATGATTGTTGAATGTCTCATAAACCGGAAGTCAAGCAAATCATAATCACAAAAAGTAGTTCCGAATCCGATAGTGGAGAGGAAAAAAGAATCCCACACGGAATATAGCTTTAATACATTATAGTAGGTATTTATAATGGATAATTTTCAAGTATTTCTGTGGGCCGATCCCGGCGGCACTGCAATGCCGGGCCGACCCGTGACGGGAGTGGAGCGAGCCCCGAACATCCTATCAGTTTACAAAAATCAGTTTAATATACTGGTCCCTCAGTGAGGGAACTTTCAGATATTAAGCTGAAAAGAACAGATACTACACTTTGATCTTAGCCAAAAGGCCGAGAAGCGATACCGGAGCGTTGAAAACCGGCGAGGGTCATTCATTCGCGGAGAATCTTAACACCGCGATTCAGAAAATGACGTCACGGCATAGTGGCATCTATCGGTACGACGCGGAACTACTCGGGCAACAATGTCGGAACAAGTTTGGCACGCGCTAACGAAACAGTCACACTTCGCAATTATTGAAAATCGTGAATGAATGTTTAAATGCAATATTGATAATCATACTTACATTATGTCTTCACAACCATTCTAAATTACTAACCTACACCTTTAGTCATTTGAGGACTAACAATACATTTCCTTCAACTGTTTCCTAAGGATCTTACCGGCAGGATTCTTAGGGATTTCGTTAACAAACTGTACTTGTTTAATCTTCTTGTAGATCGTGACTTTGTTATTAACATGTTCCAATATTTCTTCTTCTTTTATAGTTTGTCCTGGTTGTGGTACAATGAAGGCTTTGGGCACTTCGCCTGAGATCGGGTCTGGTATACCCAAGACGGCACAGTCAAGAATCTTCGGATGTGTTCGTAGTACCATTTCTAATTCAGCTGGTGGTACTTGGAAGCCTTTTACCTGTAATAATTATTTTTTGTATTGTTAGAACTATGTATATGGTAAACATTGATGTTGGTTGGAGGTAAAACAGTGTGTAGTTTATCCATATTATAGATACCTCCCGCCTAGAAGTAGAGGTAAATTGCTGTTAAACTTGGACTTTGAACCTTATTTTATTTATTTTTATTTATTTAACTTTATGCAACAAAAGTACATAGGCGGGCTTAATGCCATGGGCATTCTTACTAGCCTTATAATTATCATCTCAGAGAAAAATATGTTATCCTAGTTGTAAGAATTTTGTAAATACATAACATCACGCCTTTTATCCTCGAAAGGGTAGGCAGAGGTGCACATAATGCCACTGTACCCGAAACCCCTTGCCTTGGTTCGATTCCCGCGTCGGGCAAAGTATTACTGGTTTTTAAATATTCTCAGTGGTAGCACGGAGTCTTGAATTGTGCCCGGTATATGGCAATAGGCTCACCCCCTATTACATGGAACTCATAACATAAATAGTGAAAAGTGGGTGTTACATGTGCACCTCTGCCTACCCCTTCGGGGATAAAAGGCGTGATGTTATGTTTTTTTCTTTTAATATGTCTTATTTAAACTGTCAAACACCAAGCGGTCACCGGTGACCGCAACCTATTGTTCTATAATTGTGTCTACAAAACCGGTACTCGACGAGATAATTTGCGTTATATTAAAAAAAACACCTTTATAAGCTCTTTTAGTCTGTCGGTGACATATAAATACTTGTTCTCGTCGTATCGTCCGATGTCCCCAGTTTTGTACCAGCCGTCTTCCGTCAGTACCTCTTTGGTCGCTTCCTCATTTTCATAGTAACTCGTCATTAGATTTGGACCACGGTACCAGATTTCACCTTCCTGGAAATTAAAAGCAAAGAATTGGGTACTAGCCAACTAGTCAAGTTCAATACTTTTTTCGAACTGTCAAAAATGACAGTTTTGTATGAATTTTGTACGAGATTGTGTATTGTGACGTCACGTTTTTTTAGCGCCAAACAGTAAGTATGCTTATTTTATAAAAAAAACTAGGTTCTGCCCGCGACTTCGTACGCGCAATCCCGATATTTCCCGTACCCGTTCTTGATTTTCGGTTAAAAGTAAAAAATAAGTATTGGGTAAAAAGTATCCTATGTCCGTCTCCTGGTTCTAAGCTACATCCTCACCAATTTTCATCCAAATCGATATAGCCGTTTTTGAGTTATAAATAGTGTAACTAACACGACTTTCTTTTATATATACAGATTGCTAGAAAAAATTAAAATTAAGTTGGTCATGAAATCATTCAATATTTTATTGTATTATACAGTCGAAATAAATTATTCTTGAATAAAGAAAGTACTCAATGAAGATAAACCTGAAGTGTTTGTGTGTTTGAACGCGATTTGAATAATCCTTTTTGTGTTTGGTAGTGCATTTATTGATAAAGGATAAGGTGAAAAACATCACGCTGCGATTAATAGTCGCCGAGCAGAGCGGGTAAATTATAATTATGAAATTATCTGGCATTGTAAAAGTAAAAAAATTGACATACTTGCTAGTTAATAATTATAACTTATTTTCCATCTTGTGTTCCAGTATCTCAAAATAAAATTAACCCACTATAAGTATCCAACAATACCAGTGGCGTGCACAGGTTTTCGAGACAGGGTAGGCAACTAAATATCGTATGATTAAACCCCTCTCCCCCCGCCGGTCATACAATCATGCTCACACAAGATATGTACATAATACATTTCGAAAAGTGCGTTCAAGAATATTGTGGTGTATTCTTTCGCCAAATTACATACACTGACAACTCGCGTATTTTTTGTGAAGTACTTCATCAGCTATTGAATAAGCCAACAAAACTTACAAATAATGAAGGATCTATTATTTATTTTAATAATAAGGCATAAATTTGATGAACCAAATTTCATTATGGAATTGTTTAGTTTAATCAATCTGTTCAAAATCATAATATATTACGAATTTAAGAGCGTAGGTACCTACATTATGTCAACAAACAAAACAATAACAAGCGCGGCCGGCTGTGGCCGAGCCGGCCGAGTCTATGCGGTACATATGTTATTACTACATTACATAATTATTAATAATAAATTAATATGTGAATCAGTACAACCCGAAGTCTAAGTTGATATTTTTAAGAATTATCAAACAATAAACAAGAAAATCAAATAAAAGATCCATTATAGTACATATTTACATTACCTACCTTTTACTTGGGTCAATTCTCGTAACTCGAGTACACCTCTGCCTATGGTCTTTACCTGAATCTAGTCCGATAAAGGACATTTTCTTGCGAAATCTTACTGTTTTTACTTTCAACAAACACATAAAATTACCTATTATTCACACACACTTCACAATCGAATAATATAGGTACTTGTACTAGAAACTGATAAACAAATACACTATTTGAAAAACCTACACATATATTTAACTACTACTACACATTTATGCAACTTTATGTTTAAAACTAATTCCTAATAATTTAAACGAAAACATAAACAAAGCGATCGCACATCACATGAAAACAATATGGCCGAAAACATTGGAAACGAATTGAAGTCATTACCAATAGTCAATTGAGTGTTTATTATAAAAAAATGTAGCTTAAAAATTAAGGTAATGCAGCGTTTAATTTAAAAAAAACAAAGGTTAATTTAGTAAGTCAAATGAAATTGCATCATCGTCTTAAACCAATATTTCATACTAAAAAACATTCATTCATATAATTTGAAACGTTGTAAATGGCGCCATCTTGAAGTTTCAATAACTTCCTTTTAACTTTTATAATAATAAAGTCAACTCCTCGTTTAAAATTTCTATAAACCGACAACGCGTAAAAATGTTAAGCTTTAATTAAAACACTTGAAACATATTTGTTAAATACGCATTTATAAAAATACATTCGCATTATATCGAACGAGTTCAGAAGTTTCAACAAAAAATTCAATAGATGGCGCTGATGTACTCCATTCATCAGTACTTTACGATATACAGATTTTATCAATTTAAAACCTTTTATAATTTAATTGTTTTTAAAAATACAATAACTTGTTGCTGTTTTATTGTTTTAGAATTCTTAATAAAATACGATCGTTTTCCAAGTGATGAACGAACGGTCCTCTAATTTTTTAGTTGCAAACATTTTGTCAATCAACAGGAATCGTGTAATATAATTATGAATGGTTATTCTGTACCGTGACTATGGTCGTGAACTTCACGCATGCGCGGTGCATACTTTTGGTACATTTCTTTTGTGACGTCACTACTACCAACCAAGATTTAAGGAATAGTGGCGCATGCGTGGTGCGTGCGGGGCGCATTCATTACTTTACAAAGGCGCGTATTTATGTTAGCCGTTTTTTTACAAACTTTTATTATGTTATTGAATTTTAATAAACGCGTTTGTACATTTTATGTATGTTATGTATTCACGATATTTATAGGTAGGCAAAGCCTTTTCGCCTATATGGACTGCACGCCACTGAACAATACTGCATGTTTAAAATAAAAAACAAACTTAAGATAAGCGCCATCTATTCAAAAAATTCATGTACCTTTATAAATGTACCCTACATATAATACATGTTACCTACCTGAAATTTAGGAGTACACAGAATTTGTTGTGTAGTTAAAAATATGTATATAAATAGTTAGCACTTAGACAATCCATTTGAGGAATAAAATTGAATGATATTGTTCCTCGAATGGATTAAAATTGAATTGTTTGATTCTGTAAAATAAACTTTAAATACTAAACAAATAAGACGATACTTGCCTCTCCCGGTCCCAAAGCCTCTTTTGTATTTAAGTCAATAATCTTGACCTCGCTATTACCCAATATGTGTCCAACTGAAGCGTGGTTCGAGTCATCATTCTTACCCACGGAAATAGCTCCGTTGGTCTCCGTTAAACCATAACCTTGGCGGAACACGATGTTTTTCTGAAACGTGATAATGCTACATTAATTACCTATGATTTATTTATTCATTTACTGACTGACTGCCTCGTTGGCAGAGTGGTCGCAAGTGCAACTGCCGGGCAAGGACCTCGGGTTTTAAAAAAAATCTCTGTAGTAGCACGGAGTCTGGAATTGTGCCCTGTATATGACAATAGCCTCACCCTCTATACGGCTCATAATATTAACTCGTCAAGTACCGTCATTATAGACACAATTATAGAACAATAGGTTGCGGTCACCGGTGACCGCTTGGTGTTTGACAGTTTAATAGTGAAAAGTGGGTGTTACATTGTACAGTGGCATTCAGAGCCGTAATGTGCACCTCTGCCTACCCCTTCGGGGATAAAAGGCAAGATGTAATGCTATGTGCTGTTTATTTAATTATTCAAATTAAACTAAGTACTTTAAATCTAGCCTTATCTAGATAATCCCCCTCAGGAGCAAAGTTTATTAAAGTATGTAATGTGGAACTTATTCCACATTGCTCCTTATGATATTTTTTTGTCCTGGGTAGGTTTACCAACACATAAGTTTGACATTACACAATATTTTTGTATTACACAGAGTATTGTCCCGTGTGGGAATCGACCCCGCCATTCCGCCAAACATTATGTAGTAGCCTCTTATCCGTTGAAACACGGCTCCCGGTATAAAACACATTATGGCCGCAACTTTTAACAGACAAGAGGGTAGCTGCTTGTCCAGCCATTGCATCGACCATACAGTCACTTGAATTTAGATTCCAAAATCTAATAAAAACGAATCGCTGAATGTGTCACTAAGCGCAAATCCCGAGAACAGCTGTAGGTACCTACCGATTTCGCTTATTCTTTTGTTGCGTTTACTATTGTTAGGAGAATGTAAGAAAAATATAACAAAATGCACAGACAAATATTCAAGGCCAGACAAAGTTCCCAGGGCATAGAAAATAAACATTCCTAAGCATAATAACTACAAGTCACTAATCAGTATCATAATCATACATTTCATGTTATCAAATTGATTGTACCTAAGCACACGTTGTGTTATCATATCCTATACAGATGTACCCTTGGCTACACATATTAATATCTTATATTATCTAACAATCGGTATATTTATCAAGACCCAGATACTAGTGCACAATGAACTCTGGTACAATGCGTTGTTAGATAAGTATGTAAGCACGGGCCTGCGGACGGCGAGCATGGGTAGCTCGCTGTCCGACCAGAACCAGACCCGCGCGACGCGACTTAAAGAGCCATCAGACCACCACGGATGGAGCCCTATAGGGCTGATGCCGATACGGAGCCGCGGAGAACGTAAAAGGATACCTGGGCTCCGGCTCGGATGGTTTTTAGTTAGTAAGAGTCTGACACGCCTCACCCAGGCGGGAGGGGTCATTCGATGATTTTCCCCCATTAAAAAAAGTATGTATGTAGCTAATTAGCTACTTATTTTTACATGTAAATGATTTCTCTTCGAAATTACTACGATATAATGTAAAAATGAAGTTACCTAGTATGTCTGTTAGTGTAGTCTAACCATGATTTTTACTAAATCTAAAATGCACTCCAAGATAATCTCCTGTGTCGATACAAGTGAAACAAGGTGAATTTATTTCTGCAAATAGGCTACAAGGCAGCACTTTTACACGTCAATTTTATCAAGCGAACGATGAGGCCGACATTTCCTAACTGACTACTCTGAGAAGAAATGCCGAAACCAACTCAGAGGTCCGTCTCTTTTAATGTGTGATGTTGTGTTCACCTACATATCCAAAATTTAACACTGATATACATCACACTCGGATAGTACCTACCTTATTTTCAGATGCGTATTAAACCTAGAGAGCGCCTTAGACAAGCACAAGCACCTCATAGGCGGTCCTAATTATATTGGCCCCACCGCTACTCTATTGGCAGTTAGGTATGCGCGTCTTGTGGCGCCCTTCTGCCTCCTGGCGCCCAAGGCTTTGGCTTAGTTTCTCTTAGGGATACTACAGCTCTAACTATAGACCCATATATACATTGTATTACATTTATTTTAGTAGCTTATTGTACATACATACATAACTTCACACCTGTCTCCCATGGGGGTAGGCAGAGACTATGGAACGCCAATTACTATATACGATTCCTACATACCTCGTTCGCTTCATCAACAGGCATCAATCTTTTCATGCATGCTTGTTGGTTAAGGGTACTTTTAATTTGGCCCTTCTTTAATATATCGCCAATCTCGTCACTATATGTCCGTCTAGGACGCCCTCTACCGACGGCCCCATTCATGTCCGCTCTGTATACTTCTTTCGTTACTATACTTTCATTCATCCTTTCTACATGTCCAAACCAGCGTAACATTCCCTTTTCAATCCTTGTATCATATTTCAATGATGTATTTCAATCATCATTTTTGTAGCTTATTGTTTCAATAATAAAACATACACATTTTGTTTAAATTACCAATAAACAGGTACCAAAAATACTTTAAACCAGGCTTTAAGGCTTGTAGATAAGTGCCAAAATTACTAATGATACCTACCTATAATTGTCGGGCTTATTTCTGAAAGGAAGTTTTTTATCACAAATCGGCTTAACCTGACGCCATTGTTGAATATTGTTGGTTGCAAAAAGTTGTGAATACTTGAATAATATGATTGGTACTAGTTAAGTACTTATGTGGCTATATTATCAGCATATATAAGAATATATACAAAGGTAGCATATGAGGCTGTTGTGAATAACAACTAAGTTCCTAGGATTTGTACTTATTTGATTCTATTTATATAATTTATGTTGTTAGTACCTAGGTACATAGATTTTAAAAATATAAGTATTTGTTATTATTAAAGTTATTTACGTTTATTAGGGATAGTTTTGTGAAAATGTATTAGCCTGTAAGTTTAATTAATGTTCTATGTGCTTATGTTCTTTTGTTTTTCTTTGTCTAAATTATTTTACGGTTATTAGGGGATATTGTGTAATAAGTTTACTTATAATGTAACTGCATTTATTGTATTAAGTATGCCTGTGATGATAAATGTAATGTTTAAATATAAATAAATAAATAAAATATTTTCCAATTACCCCCTCCCCAATCTCCCCAATCCTCGAATACCCAACAATCCATAAGTGCTATGCTTAAAAACACTTGGAACATCTCTGGTGTTTTAGGTGTCTTTGGCGACGCCGATTGCCTACCTGTATTCTGAAATTCTTTGTTTTTATAATAACTATCGTGAGACATACTAAAGCTCTACTAGTTTCGAACCACAGAGGGGTTCTGAACATGACCGACTGAACATGGCGACGTCGCGCACGCTGCTCATGTTCAGAACCCCTCTGTGGTTCGAAACTAGTAGAGCTTTTCTCAGTATATTCAAGTGAGTAACCCGCGTTTTTACTTAATCTGAAATTCTTGTTTTTTACTTTTTCAGCGTCGTTTTTGTCGTAGTTGGGTTTCAGTTTTTTTACTTTTTATTACATACTTGTGTTTGTGTACAAAGTCGTGAGAAAAAATCTAGTATTACTTACATAATTCTACTTGTTATTTTATGGTCTCCATTTTTGTCATACTTCGTGGAATTAGTAAGAGGAGGCATTTGATTTTAATTTTTTTAATGACTGTTATTATCTGTATTTTTTAATTAGAGTTGCAGAGGCTAAAGGTCGATGCATGCAAACTGCACTCATATTTAATTAAGAAATTACTTATTTTTTTTAAGCTCTTATAACGCACTTTCTACTTTTGATACAAGCTATTGTAATTTAAGCTATATGTCTACGTCAATAAAATTCACATTAATATAGCAAGTCAGACTGCAGTCTTTGCACTTACAATTTGCGGTCAAGGCGAGACATTGCTTCCTATGTCTACCTACTTGTAATGGACACTGTAATATGATATTTAAGTCTGAATCAACAGAATAGATTTTGTTTTGACTATAAAATGATAAAGGTTATAATACTTTTTTTTTATAAAATAGGAGTTAGACTAGCAGACATCGCCTGAGAATAATTAAAATCGGTGCGGCCCATGGACACCCATAACACACAAGGACACCCACAAGAATTATAAGTGCATTGCCGACCCTTTGGAGGCCAGAAATTTGAGGATTGGGAATTGGGGAATTGGGGATTGGAGGATTGGAGGATTGGTGGATTGGAGGATTGGGGGATTGGGGGATTGGGGGATTGGGGGATTGGGGTTTTAGGGATTGGATGGAAGATTAGCGATTTGTGGAACGGGTACGGGATTGGGTCTTCGGTAAAGTAAATTGGAACTTACATTTTTCTTCATAACAGCTTCGGCGTCTCCCTTAGAGATGGGCGCAGCACCGCTTACAATGCCGTACACTGACTCCAAGTGTTTAGAAGTAACAGCTGGATGCTTGCCCAGGAATACCACTGCAATGTTTATGGGAATAATTTAAATTTAAACTAGAAAATTATAGAGAAAACATGTTCTTTATTGCGGTTTTCTTATCATTTTTGTGTGACCATACGGCCCACTACAGAAAGGGTTCTGTTTCTATTGATGATTTGAGCAGTTTCATTACCTTTTCAAATTTTTCGTACGTAATAGGCTCAAAAAGTAGTTAAAATTAAGTTACGTATGCTACACTACTATTCAATATATTAATTTAATTTAATTTCACAGTAAACGAGGAGGTTTCTTAACATTAACATTATGACATTTTAAATAATCGACATCTTGCAATTTTATTTATTAGGCGCATTTTGTAATAAAAAATAAATATATTGCCTTACCCATAGGTGGAACTAAGAACAAAACTTCAGCCCTATGTTGAACGAGCGTCTGTAGAAATAGTTCAGGTTTGAAGTACGGCAAGGTAACCAATTTGCACCCCAGCGCCAACTGATTCATCATCAGAACGTTGAAACCGAATATGTGGAAAAATGGAAGAATTCCCGGTAACACTGCTTGGTTGGTGGCTAAAACAAAATAAATTATAGTTAAAGTTAAAAAGGATTTGCCTATTATGTAGATAGCAGATTCTTAACTTTCCAAAAATATATTAAATTCACCTTCAAACAGTATTAAGCGGAGTTACCTAAAAGGGCCAATTTTTCTAACGCCAGATAAATTTTAACTAAGGAATAACTTTGAATATTTGACAATTCTTCCATATTAAAACTTTCAAATTTAAATTTTATTATACAGTTAAAAATTAGGTACAACACAAAAAACATGACGATTGAAAAATCGGCCCTTAGTTCTTTATTACCATCTGGTATCTTAAAATAAACACAATTAAGTTTCTACTAAAAATATAACATAACATAAAATCACGCCTTTTGTCCCCGAAGGGGTAGGCAGTTTCACTATATATGTTATGAGTCCTAAGTAATAGGAAGTGAGCCTATTGCCATATACCGGGCACAATTCCAGACTCCGTGCTACTACTGAAAATTAAAAACCCAGTAATACTTTGCCCGACTCGGGAATCCAACCAAAGACCCCTTACTCGGTAGTCGCACTTGCGACCACTCGGCCAACGAGGCAGTCAGACAGAAAAAAATAATCTTTAGAAAACTTACCAGTAGTTTCTTTAATAGCAATGATATCTGGGTCCGCAATCTGTTGGTTCATAGCGACAACACTTCCATGAGTCAACACAACACCTTTAGGGAACCCTGTAGTACCACTCGAAAAAGGTAATATAGCCAAATCTTTGGGACCTCTCTTCACAGCCTTTAAACAATTTGTGTCGAGGCTAAAATCTTGAGCAAATTCGGCAAACTTGATAGTGCCTTCAGGTAAGTCGTCGTTGTCTATTAAAATTACTGGTATGTTCAATTTCAGTTCTGCTAACGCCTGTTTGATGTTTGCGTAAGATATCTTCGATGTAATCACTGCTTTGCATTTTACCAATTCGATTTGACGTTTTAGTTCCTCTGTAAAAGAAGATGGGTTTAACTCGTCGAGTACCGGTTTTGTAGACACAATTTAAGAACAATAGGTTGCGGTCACCGGTGATTCTTAGTTAAGATAAGGTATTATGAAAAGTCATATAATTATTGATGTTGCTGTGTCTTCAACAGCAGTATAGGTTTTTTAGGGGGGGGGGGGTAAACATCGAATGACTGCTCTCGCCTGGGTGAGGCGGGAGGGAGTGTCAGACTCTTACTGACTAAAAACCACCCCGTTCCTACTCCTGCACTTCGAGCCGGAGCCCCGGTAACCCGTCAGGTAGCAGTATAGGTCTAGTGTAAAATCAATGAAACTAACGCCCGAATGCTGAAAAATCAGTAAATTTTAAGTCACTTAAGTACCTATAGTTAGTTCTGTCACTACAAATTCTTTGTAAAATGACAGAGATGGCATGATATTTAAGTACTTACAATTTAAAATTGATTAGCCTTTCGGTATTCGGGCGTTAATGAATTTAAATTCAAATTCCAAAGTCTTAATGACATTGGTGCATCCAGTACACCTACATACATGCCACTTGATTTAACTTGTCTCTTAGGAATGTGTTTTTTTTTATGGCAGACGCCGGTAAACGAGCAGACGGATCACCTGATAGTAAGCAATCTGCGTCGCCACCTGGAACACCAGAGGCGTTACAAGTGCGTAATCGGCCTTTTGAGGATTAGGAGTTTGACGATCGTTGGGATTGGGGAGATTGGGGAAGGGGTGTACCCCCCTCCCTTCTTTGGACCTCCGGAAACCTCACTCACACGACGAAGTATTACGCAAGCGTTCTTCACGTCGGTTTTCTGTGAGGCCGTGGGGTCACTCCGGTCGAGCCGGCCCATTCGTGCCGAAGCATGGCTCTCCCACACTTTTTCTCTCATTTTTTATTAGGTACTTACCAGCAGTATAAACAGGGTTCATCGTACTAGCAATGCAGCCAGCCTGTAGGACGCCCAATACTGTCACAGGATACTCCGGGGTATTTGGCAACACTATGGCTATCTTGTCATCATTCTGCAGTTTTAATTTTGTCCGCAAGGAGGCGGCAAAAGCTATGGACATCTTGTGCGTTTGCGCATATGTGTAACCGCGACCTGTCACTGCGCAAACCTGTAACAAAAGCATATTTTTATCTAAAGATGCTTTGCGATTCAAAAATTGGTTAAGTACTAATAAATAAAACCCACATAGACATTTAAAAAAGGAATTGTTTATCGTTGAAACTTTGATATACCTTTTTATAGGCAGGTTGTTCTCAGGCATACGTAGGTACAATAATAAATTAGATACTACAGAAAAAAATATAGGATTTTTATTGTTTTTTTTTGTAAGGACACAGATTTCCTGTAATTTCACAAAATAAAGTGTACACTGGCATTCTCGTGAACTTCAAAATCCTCGAGCGGCCACCGGTATCCTCACTGACTCCCCATTATAGACCTTATTTCCTATATTTAGAGATAACTTTTGTATGAACAAATTCCGTAGATTTTTCGTAATCGTACAATAACAGGCCCATTTTTATATCTAGTCTACTAATTGGATTTTAATAACTTGTCATGCTGATTAGGCATCCCATCAAATTGATATCACATAACAAATTAATAAAAGTATGATGACTTCGAATTTAATCTATATTTCCATCCAAAGAGGTCGAGATACCTTTAGATACACATTTTATCAAAAGGCAAAGTTTTTTCTTTGTTTTTTATGAAGAAAACAAACAGGTTATTGTTAGGTACTTTTATCGCCCGCCAGTAACTCCTATTATCTTATTTTTTACTTTATCTGTAAGAATTTAAAATGGATAATATTGCAATGGCAGTAAAGATTAGTTGTTCCGGTTACTCCTAAGAAGTTAGGTTAAAATAACAAAAGAAAAATAAATTATTAATTAAGTAGTTTTCTATAAGTATCTCTATACTAGGTACGTCGTTGGCCGAGTACCATGTGGTCTCGGCTTCGATTCCCGGGTCGGGCAAAGTACCTACTACTGGGTTTTTTTTACAAAAAATTCTCAGTAGTAGGTAGCACAGACTGGAATTATGCCCGGTATATGGCAATAGGCTCACCCCCTATTACATGGAACTCATAAAATAAATAGTGAAAAGTGGATGTTACAGTGGCATTAAGTGCCGTAATGTGCACCTCTGCCTATCCCTATGGGGATAAAAGGCGTAATGTTATGTGTGTATCATATAATTAATTTGAACAAAAAGAAGTAGTTTCCAAAAATAAAATAACTATATTGATAAAGATATCGCCTATACTTAGCTAACATCTCTAAAAGAATAGTTTTAATTAATTAGTTACATCTATAAGTAAGTAGTCATGTTTGTTTGTTTAGTTCGCTTCTATACCTACTTAGATAAATTTGCTTTTGATAGCCTAATTCCTAAGGAAGGTTAAAATGTTATCTTACTTCACACTTCGATGTTAAGTCCTGAATATACACGCAAGGGTTTGCAAAACCATTGGCCGTTACGTATTTTATTTATCCCCGATTATATAAAATCCACAACATTTGTTCATACAAAAGTAGTCTCTAATAATCGGAAATAAGGTCTATAAAGGAGTGAGTGGAGACCGGTCAACAGTAACCGTTTGGGAACTGGGCAGTTATTAAAGATTTTAAGATTTTTATGTTAAGGAAACAGTTAGGGGGCGTCCATAAACTACGTGAGGTGTTTTTTTTAATTTTCTGTCCCCCCCCCCCCCGTTGGTGACATTTTGTGGGATTTTATTCAACACTCTCCCTCATCCCCCATCCCCCAATCTCACGTGAGAGTTTTTTAATGTTGGTTTTCTACGTAAACGCGTTGGATTGTTATTGCAAAAAGATAAAAAAATCCATGTGCATGTACAATTAAATCTTTAGCATGTGCAATCTGGAATAAAACTAAAATAGAATATTTGTTTTTGTTTCTATCAGGAAAAAAATTACGTGATATTTGCCGAGACCCCCCCCCCAACGTTAGATTAGATGAGATTTGAGTCTACCCCCTCCCCCCTTTAAACATCACACGTAATTTATGGACGCCCCCTTACTAGGTATGTCCTTCTTATAAGACATTCAGTGTATTAGTTTTAACATAATGTAGATAATTTAAAGATGTCTTCATAATTTTATATTGGCAAATATGCAAATTTTTATTGATGAACCATGCCAGTGGAGGATTAATTAGCCTTCAACAGTTTTTATCGTCAGTTAAAGGCTTAACTACATAATAGATAAGTTTTAATTACAAATTAAAATAATTTAAATTAAATATATATATAAATAAAAATAAAAATAAATTAAAAAAG